TGGACTGAAATTTAATGGAAAGATTTATGACAATTATGTAATGATAATTATGGATACAATTCTAATTCTAATAAATATTGAAGCAAGTGAATGAAAAAAAGGATATTTTAAAGGCGCCACGTGGTATGGACCAAAATTTAATGGAAAGATTGAAGCGTGAAAATACCAGATTAAGGCGGCATGTTCGCAGAGATCAGATTAATACGGAACAACTAAACGTGTTTCTTTTCAAATAGGATACCCATTAATTAAAACTGTGAGTTATCTCTTTAATGTGACTTATCCACATATTACAATTATCTTTCTAATTAATTAATATTTGAATTCAATTGTGACTTGTTTTTAAAATGCTTTCAAGCTTTTCTTTTCAAATAGGATACCCATTAATTAAAAACGTACATTATCTCTTTACTGTGACTTATCCACATTTTCCAATTATCTCTCTAACTAATTAATTTTTGAATTCAATTATGACTTTTTTTTAAATGCTTTCAAGCTTTCTAAATTTAGAATGTCAAAGTATTATTTTTTTGGTCAAAAGTTTCTAAAAATGATTTATCCAACAACTTTTTTATATATAGATAGATTAAGGTGATCTTTATCTCTAAGGCGAAGCGTATCTCATATCTATCACTATATAATAGCAATAAGAAAAAAAAAAATGAAAATAGGTATGTATATTCCCGCTCATAATTTTGGTTTTTACTAATAATGGAAATGTTTTTAAATTTTTTTTTTTTTTTATTTCTCCCACCCATGATTTCTTTGAAATATTTAAAATTTTTGAAAGTAATATAAATTATCTTTTTTCAATCGGCATGCATTCCATCTTATCTCAATGTCCATATTTATCTAAATTCTATCCTTGTCTTTCTTTTACTTTTTAAAAAAATTATTTTCTTTTTTTGTGGGTATTGTTTCGATTTGATTTTAATATCCTTAATTAGATATTTAAAACTATTAACAATGGTAAAAGTAAAATAAATTGTCTGAATATCCTATTCTAAATTCTTCCTATGAAGCATGCCAATTTTTTTCTTTCCTGTATTCTTTTTCCTTTTTCAATATTACGTCTTTTTCCTTTTTTTTTTCTTTTAAATTTTAATTTCTTAAGATGTTGGGAATATTTTTCCTATTTTAATTTAACATTTATTATATAAAAATTACAATATTTACCAGTCTTTTCAAAAATTAGGAATCACTTTACTAAATTAAAAAGAAAAATTCAAAGTACTCCTTAATTTAAATAATCTCAAAATTTTTGAGAATACCCGAAAACTATGGTCAACTAGAAAGAATTTGAAATTATAGGATAATTACAAACTATAGGCGTAGCAAATAAATTATATGATTATTATATTTATATTGTTTTGAAATCAAATATTTCATCAGGTAGTTAAGTTTTAAACATTTCTAACACTTTTTTAATCTATGTATAAGTAATTACAATAAATAATATATCAATCCTTCACATATTTATTTTTTGCTCAATAGATTTGACAATAAAGTAAATACTTTTTAACTAAAACCTTTATTATTACATACCATGCTTTAAAAATAATATATCTATAGATAAATTAATAATAATAACTAAATAAATATTATTATGAGATAGAACAAATTTAAAAAATGAATAGAATGCATATATAGCAAAATATTGATTTTGAACTTTTTAAATATTTTTAAATTAATTACATAACTAAATAATATTAATGCATATTAAATATTTATCATTATATATATATAAAGAATTCTACTTTTGTTAGTGGGTATAAATAATAATAATAACAATAGTCATGACATTATACGACAATTATTTTTTTTAAAATAATAGTTGAGTATTATAATGAACAAAATAAATATAATTATTATTTTATCTATATCAAAAACTAAATATAGATAGTATTTACTATATAAACGGTTAGCAAGCTAATATATTAAAAAAATAAAACTTTAAATAACGTAATAAGAAACAAGACCGTCGTGCCGGATACACACTATTATACATGACATTAGTACATGCCAAATTTCAAAAGACAAATGGTATTCCATCATTTTTTCTTTTTTCTTTTTTTTTTTTTCCGGCCACATTACTGATGGGTCCAGCCAACATTGAAAACAACAAAATTGTAAGATTCCAACAACCAAAGTGGAATAGGAATTTTTTATTGCTATGAGTTGTCATTTCTGACAATGTCATTTGTTGAAAAAATGGAGCTTCATTTCCCTATAAATAGCACCAAACTGGCAGATGATAAAACACACCAAAGCGAGAAAGAAAATTAGCAGAAACAACATTCAGTTTATAGAGCGTTAGATTTTTCAGTGAGAGATAAAAATAGAGTGTTTGAGTAAATTCCGTGAGTGCAGGAAAAATACATCGGGTTGGATATCAACTCTATTACTCCTTGTATAGGAGTGGGGTCTCACTGGGTCACTATATTGAAAATATAGTGGAATTGTTCGGAGGTTGTCCTGTAGTTTTTTCCTCTATATTGGAGGATTTTCCACGTTAAATCTTGGTGTCTGTTTTCTTGCTTATTTTATTTATTTGGGATACTCTTAGTATGTTCTGTGGTCGCAGTTTAATTTGATCTTCCACATCAGAAAAGAATTATTCCTATTTTATTGCAAGAGATTTCTTTTGTCATTCTTAAGTTGTTGGGATTTGGATTATTATTTCACCATTTCACATCTATGTTTTAATTTACACCTTCCGCATTTGCGCATCTGAGCTCAACAAGTGGTATTAGAGCTCAAGTTGGGCTCTGTATCAACCAGTGTAAATTAAATGGAGGAGAACGTGGGTACCATGGTGAAGCTGACAACAACAAATTACTCCATTTGGAAGCAAAAAATGGAAGACATACTTTTCAACAAAGATATGTATGATCCTGTAGAAAAGGGAGAAAACAAGCCAGAGGACGTGAAGGATGACGATTGGAAAAAATTATACAAGAAGACTGTTAGTTTAATCAGACAATGGGTGGATATCAGCATATTCCACCATGTTGCCACAGATTCGAAATCTCATACTTTGTGGAACAAAATTGAACAAATGTATTAGAGGAAGACTGCACAGAATAAAACTTTCGTCATCATAAAGCTTGTAAATTTAAAATACTGGGATCGAAGATCAGTTGCTGAGCACCTGAATGAATTTCAAGACATGGTGAACCAACTTGTTACCATGGAAATGAAACTTGATGAAGAGCTGCAGGCGCTGTTACTTTTGAGTTCTTTACCGGATAGCTGGGAGACTCTAATGGTCTCGTTGAGCAACTATGCTCCTGAGAAAAAACTGACTTTAACCCAAGTTAGAGACATTATGTTTAATGAAAAAACAAGAAGAAAAGACTCTGGGGCAAGCAGCTCCCAAGCCCTGGTCACAGAAACTAGGGGAAGAAGCAAAAGCAAAGGCCGAAATAACAAATCCAGAGATAAATCACAATCTCAACCCAAAAGAAAATTCAAGTGTTATCACTGCGGTGAAGAAGGGCATATCAAAAAGAAACTACAAAGCCTGGAAGAACAGAGGTCGGAGGAACAACAAGTCAGAGAACGATGAAAATACCACAACCCCTGTGATCAGTGGGGAAGTGATGTTGCTCTTTGTTGAAGAAGAAGAGAGTCATGTTGAAGATTCATGTGTTGAATGGGTTATTGACTCAACAACATCATTCCATGCAACCTCTCACAGGGAATTTTTTTCTCTATACAAAGAAGGAGACTTTAGTAGAGTAAAGATGGGCTACAATAGGATTGCAAATATTGGGGGAGTTGGTGATGTGTGCATTCAAATTGATATTGGGTGTACATAACACTGAAGGATGTGAGACATGTACCTGATTTACGTCTGAATTTGATCTCTGTGCATGAACTGGATATAGCAGGCTATAGTAACAATTTTGGTAGCGGCACGTGGAGGCTTACCAAAGGATCATTGTTAGATGTTAGAGGCACATTGTGATCGACTTTGTACAGAACTCAAGTGAAGCTGATCAAGGGTGGATTGAATGCAGTCGAGGATGATGTTTTGCCAAATTTGTAGCACAAAAGACTGGCTCATATTGGTAAAAAAGGATTAAAATTTTTGGCAATAAAGTCTCTCATCCCATTTGCCAAAGATTCAAAACTAAATCCTTGTGATTATTGTCTCTTTGGGAAGCATCATAGAGTGTCTTTCAGCAAAACCTCGAAGCTGAAAAAGAATGTGTTAGAGATGGTGTATTCTGATGTATGTGGACCCATGGAAGTGGAGAGTCTTGGTGATATTTCGTGACATTTATTGATGAATGTTCACAAAAATTGTGGGTGTATTTCTTGAGAACGAAGGATCAAGTTTTCCAGTACTTCAAAAGGTTTCATGCTATGGTGGAGAGACAGACTGATACACCTTTGAAGTGTCTTCGCTCAGATAATGGAGGGGAGTATACTTCCCATGAATTCAAGAATTATTGTGCTGATCATGGTATCAGGCATGAGAAGACTGTACTTGGAACTCCACAGCATAATGGTGTGGCTGAAAGAATCAATAGAACCATTATGGAGAAAGTGAGGTGTATATTAAGAATGGCTAAGCTACCTAAGCCATTCTGGGGTGAAGGTGTTCTAATGGCATGCTACCTGATCAACCGATCTCTATCTGTTCCTTTGGGCTTTGATATCCCTGAGAGAGTATGGTCCGGACATGATGTTAAATACTCTCATTTAAAGGTGTTTGGATGCAAAGCTTTTGCTCACATAAGCAAGGAACAAAGACATAAACTTTATGATAAAGCCATTCCTTGTATATTTATAGGCTTTGCAAAGCAAATTTTGGGCATGCAGATCATGCAAGACCAGAAATCTAAGAGGTTATGGTTATTGCAAGAACGGTATGTAAACGGATTCAGGAGAGATTCAACATGAAATCGGCTAAGTTGGTAAATACACCGTTAGTCAATCACTTCAAATTGAGTAAACAAAGTTATCCTACGAGTCAAGAAGAAAAGGAAGCTATGGCGGGTGTTCCATACTCCTCAGCAGTCGGGAGTTTGATGTATGCCATGGTCTGTACCAGACTACATACCGCTCACGCGTTTGGAATTGTTAGCAGGTATCTTTCCAATCCTGGGAAGGATCATTGGGAAGCTGTGAAGTGGATCTTGAGGTACCTAAAAGGTAGTGCAAATAAATGCTTGAGCTTCAACAAAGAAAACCCAGTTCCTGAAGGTTATACAGATGCAGATATGACAAGTGATCTGGATAGTAGAAAATCTACTTCAGAGTTTGTGTTTACATTTGCAGGAGGACATGTATCAATCTAAATTGTAGAAATCTGTTGCTTTGTCGACTACTGAAGCAAAGTAAATTGCAATGACAGAAGCAGGAAAAGAAATGCCTTGGTTGGAAAGGTTTCTTCAACAATTGGGAATGAAGCAGGAAAGGTACGATATTCATTGCGATAGTCAAATCGCATTAGATTTAAGTAAGAATGCGATATACCACTCTCGCAGGAAGCACATTGATGTTAGATATCATTGTCTATGTCAAGTGGAAGAACAACATTTCAAGTTGGAAAAGATTCACACTGACGAAAACCCTGCTGACATGATGACGAAAGTTGTAACAGGGGGAAAGCTTCAGCTTTGTGTCGAGTTGACGACATGGAATGCAAGTAAAGAACTGCAGGATATTTCACTTT